TGGTCGACGTGCCCGATGGTGCCGATGTTCACATGGGGCTTCGTCCTCTCGTACTTCTCACGAGCAGCGCGCACCACCAATGTCGACGCGCCCTTCCTGCCCTTGGCCTCCGCGGCGCCTCCCATCACCACTTGCCCCACGAACGACGACGGGCTCAGAACCGCCACCCTCACGCTGGGCGCGGCATTGCCACGGGCAGCGCTGCTGCCGGCAACGCACCCAGAAACCGCAGCGCGGCTGACATCCGCGACGCAAGCCATGCCTTCAAGCCGAAGTGTGAAGCCGCGACCCTGTGTGTAGAACTCTCTCTCGGGGAGGGAGAAGGCCAACACGAGGGGAGGACTGAGGAGAAAGAGGCAGAATTTCGTAACACGAGTGTCTGAGTGAAGTGGGGAGGACTGTGAAGGGTGAGATGGCAGGGGGGAGAAAAGCACAAGGTTAGGACGAGGCTGGTGGCTTCGAGCCCATCCACCCGAAGCAGCTCAACTCCACTGGTCACTCGTCCGTCTTCTGAACCCTACGATCCGGATAAGCCTCACCCGACTTCCATTCAGTCTGGTTACGATAATGTAGTTTATTGCGGATAGATTTTTGCCCTTGCATTGAATTCGTTCGTTTTCAGGACTCATGAGTTGCAGGTGCTTCTAATGTGCTCATTCAAGGTCTTTTTGTACACCTGTCACCCGTTGACGCCATGAGATCATGCAGTATTTGTGGATGAAGATCTCGAAGGTATTTTTATCGCCCTGTAGTTTTGCGTAATCGAGTCGGTCATGAGATCGAGGATTGCTATAATAATGGCTTCCGGTAAGGTGTGAAGTTGGCAATTTTACAATTTGTCGTAGCTTTTAGCGCACCCCGTCGACTCCGATTTTGGAATAATTGTGTGGAGATTTACCATTAGGAATCCGAAGACCCATTTTTACAGCAATATAACCTAGCTCACGTGGTGCAGCTCTGCTTGCGTTCGCCAAGGGTTCTGATAAAGGTGTATGGGAATTATGCTGTGAATTTTAATCTTCAACATGTATTGTGTCTTTGAAGTTCCGAGTCATTGGGCTGCACTCGGAATGTATGTACGACGTTTGCAGGAAAGGAAAGTTATTTCTTGGGGGCTATCGTTCTGAGGATTGGCAATTTTCTGCACATGGAAATAACAGATTCTGTGGTCCTTTCGACATCAAGGTACTTTTGCTATCGCCCGCTCAATTGTTTCAAGTCGGTGTATACCGTGACGTCGTCACTTTCGTGTACAACAAGGTCCAATCGAGCTTGTGGTGGAGGAGAGTGGTTGCGGTATGTTTTTTTTAAGTTGCTTGTGTCAAAGGACAACTTTTTGAACAGTCAATGACTGTGCGAGTACTGAGGACTGTTCTGTTTCTAGCGCACATCTCCGGCAACCTCAAGGATGGACTCACATCTTAAGCTGCACTAGAGCTCAATCATCTGTGCAATTCTGCCACAGCCTTGGTCGAAATCAAGCACGAATCGCAGCACAAGTTTGTGTTTTAACGTATTGGTCTTGGTTTCTTTGTAGCGTCTCTTCGTAAAATCATCCACGTGCTGTCGTTTTTTTTATTGTTTTTTTTGGCGGAGCAACTTAGGGTTCAATACAGCGTGTTCGATCTTTACAAAATATTGGGGTGGTCAAAAGACTTCGGAATGCCGGGTTCTTGTAGACCCTTGTGAATCTCTTAACGTCGGACTTGATTTCACGCATTCAAATTAATGAACCGGGTAGTTTACGTGATTTTTCAACCCGTCGAGAGTTAATTGGGCGTCAATCCTCCTCCAAGCTGGAAGGCATTATAAACTCCCGGACTTACAAGACCTCCTAGAGCAGATCCTTGGCCCTGGCCCATTCGCTGACTTTGATGAGGAAGTGGTATCAGAGTATGACGAGCATCCGCGAGTGTCAAAGTTTGATACTCTTAGAGATTGGTTTTTGCATTTTCAAGGTCAAACCTAAACGTCATATTTCCCCGAGAAAGACCCTCCAGTAAGGCATTGGGAGAGCTGCAGAGGACGACCCTGCCTGAATAGGATTCATGCCCAACGGACACCGCACAATTCTCTAACATTGTCAGGGACTTACTATCGTCATATTTGCATTGCTTGGATTTTAGGCTCGCAGATCGAAGGTGAATAAGAAGAGATGGATTGGCATTTGCAGCATTTCGTCGAAGTCCAATGCTCACAGGGCTCGCAAGTCTCTCACATGAGATTTTCAGGTTTGTACTCGGCATCCATGTTTGTTGGGCTAGCAGTGCGCAACAGAAAGTCATAAACCTAAAAATTCTCGTATATCGTGTATTCGCATCCCATGCTCTCTGCAGAAATAACAGGTTCAAACTCAACCCATAAACCCATGAGTGGCTCCCAGACCGTGAAAAAATGTAAGTTTGTCAAATGTAAGATTGTAAGGTGCCTCTAATGCTAGATTTAATTCTAATCTTCAGTCAGTCGTTTCAAAGTCGCGATGGATGAAAACCATATTGAAAAATAACTGTGTATAAGACAATTTTCTTAAGGCAGTTGGTTTGATCTCATACTTTTAAGTGAGCTACACGTGTATAAATGAGAGCCCACAGTCTACCAAGGCCTGCTTGGACCTTCTTAAAGCTGCTCTGGAAGAGAGAATGACGTAACTTACTTCCTGACTAGAACTAAACCGAAATCCCTGTAGCGACCAAACCGTTGAGTCCACATGACTCGGGCATCTCTGATCATCAACCCAACGTTATAGAAAAAGATTCCAAACTGAGGTATAACCATCTTCCCTTCTGTAGTGGTCCAAGGCAACTGTTAGTGCTGGTTCCGAGCAGATACATGCTAATCACCAGACTTGTGATTAAATTCCTATTAATGCTTGTGTGTAATTACCATTCTCAGCACTTCATAGGAAAAGCAAGAACACGCGCGCACAGCAAAATGACAAGTTGAAATTGCATTTTTATTCTTATGTACTTGAAGTGCTTCATGATTAACGAACAATGGCCAGCAAACAATGTGCTACCTACTATGGCCAGTTGTGTTGACTTTCGACTCGACAGGGAAATCACATATCTACACTCACACGCTATGACAAGCCTTTGCATCAAATCGGAGAGGTAGGTTACCACTTGGCATCCGTCCCATCCATGAAAGGGAAAAAGAAGATTTATCCTCTTAACAATAAATGTTAATAATTGAACCATAAGGAACAAATGAGAAGTGGCCAACATATAATGGGTTTATTCATTTATTTATTTATTATTATTATTATTATAGGTATGAAGAAACATACAATAGCTTATTATTGTAAAAAAGAAAAAGTTCTTTCTTGCAAAAAAGGTAACATTAAGAAACTTTGAAATTGATTACTTGATTCCACTAATTACAAAGTTATTGATTAATAGTGGAAGTGCCTATGCAAGAGTTTTGTTCTTCTAAACAGACACCACAAAATCCACTTGTATAATTGTTTCTTAGTTGTACTAAGTATAAAAGGTCCAAAATTAGGGTTGACTCTCCACTCACAAGCTTAATTGAAACCACCATAAGTCTATAATCGTGAAAAAATTCAAGAATTAGGATATTTGACTAGTTGAAGGTGTTGCAGTGGGTACTAAATCTGTATATTGAATTATCTACTCATGAAGCATAGCCTTCTACAAAAGACCTTAGTATCTTAATCCTTTTTCATATTGAAGTTGCTCATTTTGCAGAACTTAAGTGAATACAAATAAGCTAAAAAGTTCACTACTAATTGGATGTTAATCATTCAACACAAGTCTAAATTCAATTTCTTGGTGCAAGATAGAATGAAAAAATTAATGTATTAATTTAAAAATAATAATAATAATAGTAATAATAATAATAATTATTATTATTATTATATTTTACAAAACATGTATATATATATATATATATATATATATATATGTAAATAATTAATTAATTAATCCAAGCTCTTATTAAATTGATCCACCTATTATTATAAATTAGCACATAGATTGTTGGACTCATCTTTGTTATCATAACCATCATTTGCATTTGGATTGATATAATCATGGAGATATTATTGCTAATAATAATTATTGAACAACATCTATAATAAATAATTTCTTGACTTTGCTCCACCTTGTTAAGCCTATAACTTCTTATGTAGTCAATCATCTTTCTTTTCACCCTCCACTATAATCTTGCAATTTTTTTGATAGAATGTCGAGTGTTCAAAGAAAGAGAGATGAGACTATCTATCCAAATATTATTTGCATTTTGAAATAAAAAATTTATTGTACATATCTCCTCTACTAGAGGGATCTCTTGATTGATTTTAACACATGAAAGAAAATATAGATAAGTTTGCATGTATCCAACGGTATGTAACTTGTAAATGATGCTTTGACAAGCATTGCATAGATTTTATATGTCATAGGAGATATTTTTACAATGGGCAAAATAACTTCATCCATCAAAAAACTCAACAAGGTAATTTATGTGATGTTCATTTGAATTGTATGCATAATGTTTGTACAATAGTACACAATAGCATTGAATAGTACAAAATTATCATTGTATTCAAGGATCTTCAATATCACTTATAAGTCATTTCATAACTTCACAACTTCAACCAGTAGAAAAAGAATTGGTACTTTGGATTCTTCTTATGGAAGAAGTGCCAAAAAATATAGTAATTGCAACACATAAAAGAGACTCTAAAAGACATATAATTACTTGTACTACTTATAATACGTACCAATTATTGCAATATATTGTCTTTCATGGTTTTTTATTAATTTTTCATCTAATAAAAATCTAATATTATTATGTGATAACAGTTCCATTAAGTAAAATATATAAAAAAAAGTTTTATTATAAAAGAGCCTAATTAAAAAGACATAATAAAAAAACATGGACAAAAGATAGGTAAGTAATAAAATCTTATATTATTAAAATTTCTTTTTATAAAAATAAACTCTACTTACTTTATATAGCCATAAATAAGACAAAATAAGATAAATTAGAAAAATAAAAAAATAAGCATATATAGAAAGAAATTAGGAGTTGATTTTAGCAAAAATGATCTCAAAAAAATAAGAATTGATACCTAAAGAGGTCCAATTATCAACTAGAATAAAAATCAAATCCCAAGAAACAAAACCAAGCATCTATAGCAACTCCAAAATTCTTTTGTCAATTAAAAAATAGAATTTGAAACAAATCTCAAGAAAAAATTTTGAGTGTTAATTTCATGTCATTTAGATTAGTATTAAGATTTTGAAGGATTTTTAAATTTAATAATATATTTAGTTGGTTTAGATTTTAAAAAATAAAAATAAATTTACAAAATTGAAGGTTTTATAAGTTTTTTGGCATATTTATAAGTGAAATTTTGGAAATTTATTGTTGTACTTGTTATAAATTTGTGTAAGAAATTTGAGGTCAATTGAGTAGTTAGATTGAAAATTTTGTGGATTATAGTCTTGAAAATTTGACATATAGGATTAGTAAGAGATTTCAAGATCTAGAGATATTTGCTAGTTAAATTGAAGCAAAATTTGGTGAGAGAATTAAGTCTTGAATATCTACACACAACTTAATTTTTGGAGCAATTGAATGATTTAGTAAGGAGAATTCAATGTTGAAAGATTAATATTTAAGTCAGAGAAGAAGGATGGTCAAAGATCGAGTGATTTTGAAAGCTTTTCTTACAATGGTAAATCCAATTCTTCTCAAAACTTATGTGCTTATTAATTGCCTGTTGGAGGAAGTCTTAGTGAACTTTTAGTCAAGATCTATGATTTAATTAATATTTATTGAGGTTTCAAATAATTATAGTAATTTATTGGAATTTATTTGGAATTTTCTTGGCTTGTTTAGGATTTAGGATATTATTAGGATTTGGTCTAGGATTATGATTTAAGATTAGTTTATCTAAAATTAGAATTAGTTTAGAGTTTATCTAAAATTTGATTAAAATTTGTTTAGGATTTAGCATTTTATTAAGATTTGGTTGAGATTGGTTTAAGATTTTATTAAGATTTGTTGAAGATTATATTAAGATTTGATTAGGATTTTTATTTTTATTTTTTTTAAAAGATTTATTTATAATATATATTTTATTAAAATTAATTTATGATTTTTTTATATTTCTTTTGTAAGTTCTTGAGACTTATTTAGAAATATAATTAAAGATTGAATAGCATTATTATAATTTAATTGAAATTCATTTAAGATTTGTTAAAGTTGTTAGAATCATCTTGTTATAAGTTTCTTTTTCCTTCTACAACTAAATATCTAGTATATTCTTAAGTAGACTTCATGTAATATAATATTGTGCCATTGTTCATCAATTTACTTATGAATTCATAAAATTATACTTATGTATAAAATACTTATAAAGTATTTTTGTTTTTTTTTTGTTTTTTTATTTTATTTTGTTTTGTTTTTTTTTGTTTTTTTTGTTTTTTTTTTTCTGTAAAATTTAAATATGTTGAACTTATTAAGAGATATTTATCATCCATTTTTATAGATTGTATATATAAAAAAAAATAGTAAAGAATGCAAATATTAGATATTATAGAAATTATTGATTTCATTACTTCTTTTATTATTGTAATTATTTTTTTTCAAAGAGAAAAAAAATCCTTTTTTGTTGGGCATTAACTTAATTAGTTCAGTTGTATGAAAATATTGGATCTATCTACTTTGATGCTGAATGGAATTTGGCACTAATAAATATCATTGAAATTATCATTTCTACTTTAATTGTCTTACTCTATATTTGGTACATTGAAAAAAATGTGTTAACTAAATCTAAAAAATATTTTGCAAGTAAGTTGGAAGTAAGTTGGTTGTTATTCCTACAATATGCAACATTGACAATAAGTTTTCATAATAATGCTAGCAAAATTGTTCATTATAATGGTCTATTTCATGTTTTTTTTATGTCTATAATCAAATTAGATGCTACAATAACAAAAATAATTCAAAACCACCTACAAATTATATCAAAAATCCTAATAATACAAAGCATAGTCTTTGAACATTATAGAAACAATTATATAGAGAATATCATGCAAGTTGTGCTACCTTGGTCAACTTGAATAATTTCTCTATTTAAGAAATGGATTTACAATATACAATTATCATATCCCATTCAACCATGTATTGCTTTATTTACTTAACATGTTTTGCTTTCACTTTATTTTTAGATTTTTTAGGTTTTTAAACTTTTTCAATTAAAGATACAACCTTTAGGATCTCAATCTTCTCTTTAATGTGAGTCCAATTGGATTGCATAACTATTAATACTTGAGTTTGACAACTTGGAAACTATAACATCAACTTCTTTGTTAGCATGATTACAAAGACCATTGATATAAATTAAAATATTACCGACAATATATATAGAAAATTGTGATAAGAAACACAAATAGAAATGAAAACATGCTTCTATTACTTGAAGTTGCTGCATATGAAAAAATAACAAAATGGAACCTAATTTTATTTTAGAAAATTAAGCAATACAACCAAATATTCTATGGACTTTGCAAAACTACAAAAAAACAACAAAATTATTTGATTTGATTAATTAACAATGCTCCAAACTCATTCTTGAAGATGATAAGCACTTCAAAGATAAAAAAGAAGTTAGTATTGTAGCCAAGGATTAACAATTATTTACTTGAAATACACAAAACATGAAAAGACTATAGAGAGTTGAGGTTTGTAACCACCTTTAGATAAGTTACTATTAAAATATTGACTAAAGCTTTGTAGCTTCAGATATCACATATTTTCTTGTAATTTTTCTTTGACATAGATAGACAAGAAATTGAGACAAAGTAAATCTAATTACAAACTTATAATAATTGCAATAGTATTTAGAATTTATGAAAAGGCTTATTGTGAAGGAATAAAGAGAAAATAGAATATAAAGTAGAAGAATAAGATATCAACACTATGTACAACAAGATAGATAGTAAGAGAGAGATAGGGAGTATGTCAAGAAAATTATTTAAAGTATATTTCTTATTCCCTCTTAAACAACAAAATAGGATTTTCCTTAAAGAAGGCAAGAAAAATGGGAGGTGGCCATGATTGTAACTATGATAAAGAATATGGTAATCATGATGAATGCACTTGATTTTCATTGATTGTAGATCTAATAGTAGAGAAATGAATCTAGAAGCTATTTTTTTAATGACAGTTAGAATCAATGGATTAATTTATTAAAAACTTAGATCTATTTAATATATATATATATATATATATATTTTATCTATTGCTCTTTTTCTCTCTCTCTCTGTCTATATATATAGTATAATTTAAAAATATTGGTGGAAATCAAAAAATAGTTATGATACTTAGTACATACTTTATAATATAAATTCAATTTTATTGTATATAATCTTAACTTTAAAAATATTAGTTAATTGTAATAAATACTAAATATGGTTTTAATATAAAAATTCATGGTTTCAATTAAATAAAATCATTATAAATGAATAAAAAAGAACTTTGCATATATTTACTAAAATATATAATTATCATATTACAAGGAATAAATTGGATTTATTATATTTTTATTTATACAACAAATCAAAATCTACCATAATGAATGAATGTATATATATATATATATATATATATAAGAGATATGAATGAATAAATTATAGACAACAAAACAACAAAATACACTAAAAAAACAAAGTTAGAAAGAAGCAGGTAAAAGAAAGTACTATCTACTCCTCTTCTACATGTAATTAGTAGAAAGATGGTCAATATAAACAAGAGGTTATGGATTTCAATCCTATAACTTCCCAAATCTTTTTTTTGACAGTAAGTGTTGCTAAAGCTACAATTTGAAATAAATAATAATAATAATAATAATAATAATTTTAAATTATCAAAATAAAAACACAAACACACGATGATATGGCATTATGGGTATTACTGGCAATGTGTAGCACCACCTCGCCTACATTTTTCATGAAAAGAGAATGAAAAAAGGAACTCTCTTACATGCAACAAATTATATTCTACCATAGATAGGCACGTGAAAACCTTAATTAGCTTCATTACAGAATAATTTAAGATTTATTTTCCAACCAAGTCTCTTCTCTTCCCGTGGCTACCCCTAATATAATAATAACTATAATAATGTTAAAAGGGCGTGTGGTGTGTTTCCCTATTATTTCGCCGATTAGTGCCCGAGAGAGTGAGCCTCCGAAGGACCTACAGTCACCGAATATGTAAGCGTCTTGCACCAGCTCTCTCAGTTTCGAAGTCCACGTCGTGACTTCAGAAGCTCCGAGTGGTAAGATGCAATAATGCGAAGAAGTTGATCCACTTTTTTATTTTATTTATTATTTCTTGCCTCTTTGGCATGAATTGTTTGTTTTGCACGACTAGGAAGGTATTGGCAGTTTGTTAGTGTGTGTGCCTTCTTCATTTGAAGATTTGGGATCCGATTCGGGGATTGCAGTTTTGTAATGAGTTGGAAAAGTGGTGATTGTGTGCGAAGAGTAATTGTCTTGGAACAGTTGAGCACGAATTGTTGATTTTTTTCGAATGGTGTTTTTCTTTTCGTGTTTGATCTCGGGATTCGGTGCTGCTGAATGAGTTCCTTCGACAGCGACTTTGTCTAGAGGCTCTGGACGCACAGTTATTGGAGATTTCGAATGGGCTGGATGCTTGCTGTATTTTTGATCGAGAGTTCCGTCGAAGACACGGCTTCTGGTGTTTTTTAAATCCCGAACCCTAAACCCTGTGTTGTGTGCCCCGTGCGTGAACGATTCACTAGGAATTGAAGGATGGGAGAATAGAGGAGAAGATAGCTGCGAGGATAACTGCAGAACGAGTGGTGACGTGGTAGTGTCGTCGTCATGGAGGCGGTACCGCACAGCCAGGCGGAGCAGGTGGCTAGTTCCGCAAGCTCAGCTTCTGTTTTGGCTAGCGACGGAAATCGAACTGAAGCAGGAGGTGAGTAGGCGCCAGATTGAACTTTCTTTTATCATGATTCAGTTATTATAGCTGTAGCAGAGGTCAGAGACGTATCTCTGATTAGAAAAGAGATCGTTGCCGAACCGATAGAGTCTTAGCCTGTGGCTGTAGCAGAAGCAGGAGGAGAAGGGGAGAGGATTCTGGCGAAAGAGGAGAAAATACTGGACCTGACTAGCTTCCAGCTGCACGATTTGACGGACGTGGATTTGCCTTCCTTTCTCGAGGAATTGGATTTAACAGCCAATCGGCTCACTAGCATTGACCCTCGAATTTCCAATCTTTCGCACCTTCAGGTAATGCGCTATGAATCATTCATTTGCAAATACTATATACCTATTTCACTTTGTTTGCTCGTGTACAAGTCATCAGAATATTATGATTTCACTCATGATTTAGCGTTGTGTTCCAAAACTAAGAGATGATTTGTTCAAAGATAGTGCAAGTGGATTTCGAACTTATATATATATATATATTTTAGTAGCATTGGTTTTTTCGTCGTCGCCTTCGTTGACTAACGTGTAGAATGCTGGTTTGTAAATCCCTTGTTCTCCTCTGTTTTTGAAGTGTTCCATGGTGTTTCTGTTGTGCGTATTATGTGAAGAAATTGAGCTTTGAACAGAATTTGCTCGCCGATAGTGCGTTGACTGAGTTCAATCAGTTTACAACGCTAAAAGGTTTGAAGGTGTGTTGTTTTTATACTTCACCTAGTTTTTATTGATTGATTGATTTATTTATTTTTGGGTCCTGCTATTCTGTTGTCCTCAGAGTAGTCGTTCGGAATTTGATGATCAATGCTTCTTCGTTGTTGTTTCAATTACGCTGTGTTCTTTTTCCAAGCGATCGCAATTAGCGCGTAATGCTGCCACGTTTAATCCCTTGGATGATGGTTCTGCTGTGTCTCTTTCTTTTGCAGGAGCTAGTGCTGCGCGACAATAAACTGCTCAAAATACCAGGATTGAGCACCTTTGTGGAATTATTATTGTTGGATGTTTCCTTCAATAAAGTTTCGTCCATGAATGGCTTGTCTGATGTGTCCTCGTCTTTAACTGAGCTTTATTTGTCGAATAATGAAATTGAAAAAATTGTAGAGATGGAGCATTTAACGAATCTTCGGGTTCTTGAGCTCGGCTCCAACAAGATTCGGGTATGCACTTTCTGTAACTTCATGGTGTTGATTACAGCAATGAGCACATGCTGCCTGTCCCTGTCATGTAGAATATTGTCTGATGCGACAATTGTAGTGTTGCAGTATGTCATATTTATAAAGGTTTAAGATTCTGATCTGGACAAACACATAATGTCGCTGGTAATTTTTAATCAATGCCTAATGATTTTGACATCAATATAATAATGAGCTTCTTAAGAGAAAGTTGTGTAGGCGTCATTTCAAGTGATTTATCGTATGTTCTTTCTTTTAATCGAAGGTTTAAGATGTGGCTGTACTCTGATTTGTCATGTCTGAAGCTTGTCATTTCTTTCGTCTTGTAGGTTATGGAACGTCTTGATCAGCTAAAAGAGTTACAACAGCTGTGGCTGGGGCGCAATCGCATTCAGAGTGTCAACTTGTGTGGGTTGACTGGATTGTTAAAGATTAGTGTGCAGAACAACCGCCTGACTTCAATGGCAGCATTCCAGGTTTCTGCTTGGTTATGCATCTTGTTATAATGTAAATGCGTTTGGCTGGCTTTAAATGCTTTCCTTCGAAGTTGTGTTTACCCATTTGTATTTTTGAATGGGTTCCGTAAATTGATGCGTTCCTATCTAGATTTTAGTGTCCTTAGGCAGATCTGTATAATATTTTGTGAGGCTCTTGTGATTTCCTTGTTCTGCTGAACTCGAACGAGGACAAACCTGTTCTTTTAATTTTAAGCGTGAACACTTCTTTCGTATCTGCAATGCCTAACACGGCTGGAACTGTTCTTGACCTATTGCTTAAAGTTTCAGCAGTGAAAATGTATTTATATGCTATAATCCTAAAATGTGCATAGATTGTAATAGTAGGTGAAGCGGCGATACGGCTTAGCTGGTTAGGAAGAGCGTGGTTCATGCTTGTTCATGGTTGCATTGTGTATGACCACACAAATTAATTTTGCTGGCATCGGGCAACTTATTTCTTTGGAATTCTTTTGTTGCAGGACTGTGTGAATTTGACAGAATTATATTTGAGCCATAATCACATTTCCGTAATGGAAGGACTCTCTACGCTCCAGAATCTTCGTGTGCTGGATTTATCGTCAAACAAAATTACAGAAATTTCCAATCTTGAAGAGCTCATCAGGTGTGTTAACTACTTTGGCATACCATTAAAATTCAATGTACGATGGCTGTCAGTTTGTGTATTTACATACAAGGGGCCTATCCATCAACTTCTTGTTATTTTTTACTCTGATCCCTTGGCTGGTTTAGTGGAGAGTGTGGAAGTCGTACATTGACATTTACGCTGGAAATTTCTGATGCCATCGTGTTTTGATTCTTTCCACTGTTTCTGAAATTAGTGTAGGCTTGCATCAGAAGTCTTCTTGTTCACATTAACTTTATGAATTTTGTGTTGGCAATAGGCTGGAAGACCTGTGGCTAAACGACAACAGTATTTCTTCATTGGATGACATTGAAATGAAGTTGGCAGGGTGTAAAAACTCTCTAACCACAATCTACCTGGAGCGAAACCCCTGTGTGCGCACTTCAAAACTTCGCTCTCTTAGTACCTACCGTCGTGATCTCTATGGCATATGTCGTAGTTGTGCTACATCCAGTTTCAAAATTACGTCCTTTCTTATCCCCCCATTTTCAGTTTTTGATTTGGTACTGTTTTTTTTTTTTTGAAAATTTCAGGCCCTTGATCCCAAGTACATGCGCACAATGAGAGCCATTCTTCCCAAGCTGCAGCAGTTGGACTCCCACTTGCTTCTACACTAGAACGTCACAAGTTAAGCATCTTTTGCAAAGGTTTCTTCGTCGCCTAAACGATTTAGGTCAAGATTGACACCTGAGTAATATTACTTCGGTAGGTCAGCCTGTGATTCATGCAGCTTCGAATATCGCACTAATTACATTATTCGTGTACCATGTATCAGGCTTGAGATTATTAACTCTTCTGTGTTGGAATTTATAAGAATTTGGTTGAATAATAATTAGGATGAAACAGATATTGGTAGTGCTGTAATATCAGGTCATTGTGATGTCGCACAGAGCAGGATCTCATACATGTCAATATCAAGTGACAGATTTTCATCATGGGATTTACCATGGTCTATCAAAGGGGGATAGTATGGCCTTTGAATCTGCTTCTTATTAAAAAGCATGTTGTAATGAAGTGCCAGGACCTATTTGAGATGCTGCTCTGAAGGGCCCTTCCCCCCGCTACCACTTCATGCACCCAAGGCTACTCACACAGTTAACTGCTGACAGCGGACTGTGTCCATTTTTTTAATTATATAAACACGCTATTGTGCCTGTGTGATTTAAAGCCGTCTCTGAAACACTATCTGTTTCCCAATTAGCAGCATCCTCGCATTCAACTGTAATCTCAGACTTCTTGCCTAGCATTTTTAGATTATTCATTATCGTAATGCGTGCGTCTGTGTTCCCCGACGGTCCTCGAATAATTTCCATTTGAGCTGGTGACAAAACCTATCATTCAGTGTAAAATTAGCTTATGGTGAACTTGCTCAAATAACTACAAACAAGGATGCGAGTGCTGTATGAAGCTATTGTGTGTAAATTGGGAGCCAAATCTAATTGCCGGAAATGAATTTTACATGTTAGCTCAATAAAATTTGCGAAGGGTTCGACTACATGTTTGTTGAAGGTAAAGTACCTCCATCTCCCTCAATCAATTCAACTTACCTTCATTGGAATTCCATTAGCTGCCATTTGATCGGCTACTGCTAGCTGTCTTCTGTTGCAACTTTATAAGTGTGCGTGTCTCATGCCTCATCCCAAGCTTTAATTGTGAATCATTTATGAAACTTCATGGTGAAGACCAAAGTACTTGCGCTTCTTATTTAAAACATGATGTCCTGAAGTGTTCATGAAAAACACTTGATGCAGGCGATAAACACTTAATCACACAATTACGAGGGAGGATCACACTTTTCAATCTACAGTCTTACTGTCTAAATCCTGTGGCAAACCTCAGAGTTTGTCTACTTTCAAATACATCGACTGTTTTCTGGATGTATCACAACACAAATGCACAAGTGTAACAACGTCCCAGGTTGCTTACAAAATTTGTGGCATCCTGGACAGGAAAGGAACTCCCGCAATTCTCCCCTCGATCTTCATCTTCTTCTTTCCTTTCCTGATACTTCAACCCAAGCACCTCAAAATCTCATTCCACGAGTTGCAGGAAAATGAATTTGCGTAAACTGGGACATCAATTATACGCAGGTAGTGGATGCTGCTTACTACCTCGTCTCAAACTTTCCTAAGAGATGGCAGAAGTAAAGACAACGAAGAAGCTAGAGAAGGCAGACAAATCATTCCTAAGCTTGAAACGCTCGATGATAATTAGAGTGACTTCGAACTGAGAAAAGCTGCCCATGTGCGCGCCCCAGTGCCCGTGCAGTGAAGCCATCTCGGCACCGCCATAGTTAGCACACTGCTTGCAACAGCAGTTGCGAAGTAGGGCACAATATCCTCTTCAGCATCAGGTGGGAGCTCCATGGAGAATGGTGACGATGCCATTGAAGCTAGCATGACCCATAGTGAAGGCTCTTTTCTCCACCTAGTTGATTCATGTACACCGCGTGGTTTTTAGGATATCATGCTACGATTTTGGTCAGAATCGATTCTGGGTGCAGGGTTTGCTTGAAATGGCAATTGACAATTCGTCTGAACGAGGACACTTGCGGCAATCGGCCTGAGTCTACCTTGAGGTTAATTCCATGTACAAACTAATTATGATGTGAGTTGCGTCTTCGCTAGTGATATGTGCGTTGCGTTGTTGCTTACCATGTCGACAGGGGGGAGGTGAGCACGTGGAGAAGATTCACAGTTATTGGAGACGAGAATTTGGGACGCATGTTAGCTGGGCTTGTGAATTTGTAGTAGCAGAGTGACGCAGTGCTGATAATCCCCTTGTCGACTTGAGCGATTTTATAAAACATGTGTACTGGGTGAGAGCAGGTTAACCAGCTCGTCAAATTACAAGCTACCAACACACGCATCCCAGTAATGTATCTGATTTTCTTGGATCAAACTTGGTGTCCGGTGGTGAGAGACGAATAAGGTCTAGAAGTGTTTCGAGTGAGTGGCATTAATGTTTTACATATCGCTGCTAGATCCTGACAAATCTTAGGGTTTTTCGAGAGTTCGTTGTCAGTATGGATGATGGATCATGCTTAGAGAAAGGGAAGCAACAGAGTGGACTTCCCCGTCAGTAATGGCTGCAAGGATGTGACGAGCTGACAAAAAAATTGCCTCAATTGACAATTCGTCACATTCTTGAGTCATGGTCAATTGAGGCTATTTTTTTCCGAATTCATCCCCGTCGTTTATTTGCCGCCCCAGCCACGGTTGCGTGCTTCCTAGGTCCTAATACCCTTCATTGTTTACATTCTAGCCTGATGAGGTGGTTTTGAAGCTGTTTCGACTGAATTTTCGTGTTCCAACTCCACATTTCTCAATTTCATAATGAAACCGCAAGATCCTCAAGCAGTCCTGTCGTCCAAAACCGTAGCATGACATGTGCTTTCCACGGCGACAAGTTCGACAGCAGCTACGAATCAACAGATGGAATTTTCATGGCCACTCTTTTATCCACCAAGTTAAAGTTTGATCAGTGGATCTTACCCTCCATACCCGAAGCACACACACACAAGCTTCATACAAATCCCACTGAATCATCTGCTGGTAGTAAATGATGCAATGCTGCATTTCACAATGTCTCTCACCCAATCCACCTTTTGACAATCAGCAGGCTGAGTCTGCAAAGATCGAGCACGGCATAGTCATTGACAATGAGGTGAAATTGTGTAACGCGTGAAATTGGGTATTGTCCCACTGACACTGAAAGCACTTTTTTAATGTGAGAACTTTAGTGAAATTGGGTATTGTCCCACTGACACTGAAAGCACTTTTTTAATGTGAGAACTTTAGTGAAATGGGAAAAAGATGTGAAATCTTACATAAAATCTATCTTATCTTGTTTGAACTTGCATCTTATTGCGCTTATTATTCTATGATGCTTTTATGTGATTATTTCTTTCTAAAACACTAATAAGTTAGAAGCTGGATTTAAAATTTAACCAATTTTTTGCTTTATCACGAGCCAATTTTTTGGCCATAACATATTGTTTTGTCTTTTTTTGTTTTTAGTCATATTTCAATCTCCTCTACAAATTGTTATGATATTAGTAGAAAAGTGGTTTGTAGAATTTGTCTATAAAATGTTGTGTTCTTAATATATATACATTACTAGTGGAAACCTGTCTTGTTGAGTACAAAAAAACTATCTACAAATGATAGCTAGAGGTATTTTTGCAAGTTATGTAGGGCTTTATATTATTGGTTATAAGAACAATTTTGGTCAATAGAAAGCTTCTTTGTCCATTTGTCTTATACCTAACCTTCTTTATCTCAATGCTAATAGAAACCCGTGTCATTGGACATTGCAATCTTTGGCAAATCCAACTATTCCTTTGTTCTTTGTGCTGCCTAACTGCAATGTTTTCTTGTTCCTACAATCCCTTATTCTCATGTTTCCATGTTCCTATGTTCTTTAATTCCCATGTTCTCCACATTTCTTATATTCCTTTCTTCATAGCCAATCAAAAGACTTCTTTGTTTCTTTGTGTTATATCCAAGATATCTTATATAGTAGATATTGAATGAAAATAATGTTCAAATAACTAAATTTTATAGAAGCATATGTTTAAAAATAAATTATTTGATTTGATTTTTTTATTAGAGAATTAACATTATCAATTGAAAATTTGAGATAAAAGACCAATTGAATAAAATAAAATTAAAATTAAAAAATTATGTCATATTATATTTATATATATAGATAAGAGTAATAATAACATGCATTGAACTAAAATATTCTATTTAATTCATGTGCTTTTGTGCTACAAAGTTTATTCTCTTGTTAGATTGTTTAATTATATCTTAATTACAAGCTTTTGATATTATTTCTGAATGAAAAACCTTTTTTTTATAATAACTCAATCTGCTAATATTATATAAGAGTATATATGATTTTAAGTAAAAATGAGAATAGAGCTTATAGAATCTATTTTTATTCTCTTATAATTGACTTTGAGATTATGTCTTTTATAAGTGACTATTTGATTATCTATTGAACAAAGTAATATAAGAAACTATTGTTCTTTTATTATTTTTTAACTTCTCTTAAGATAATTTTGTATCATAATTTTATTAAAATTAATAGATATTTAAATAAGTTTTTTTTTTTTTTTTTTTTTTTTTTTTTTTAATAAAAAAACAACATACAAGAATAAAAACCTATAACTATTTGATATTAACATTCTTTTGTGGCAATTCTTTGCTTCTTTTATATAAGTTAAGAAAGAAAATTTCTTGTTTTATTAGATCTTAAACAAAATATTTTCAATGTTCATGCTTTAAATTCCAATTATATTATTTGGTATCTACTTTGTAATAATTTTAGTCTTTTATGTTTAGCTAAGTTCTTGTAGTTTGCTAAAATATTGTGTTAATCAATGGACTAAATAAATACCTTATTAGATACCTTATAAATTAAATATTACAATTACTTATAATTATTTTGCTTATACTCTAGCTTGGAATTTTCTATAACATCATAGTTAGTTTATTTGATTTTAAAAGACTATATTTGAATTTTTTATTCTTGATTTATTTTAAGGTATAATATATTATTTTTTCTAATACTGAAATATATATTTTTTACATTATTCTTAAATTTTATTTGCAATCATTTCTATTACTAAATATTTTGTGTTTATAAAGATTTTTTTAGTTATATTTTTTACTCCCTACTAATTTAGCCAACATCTAGGCCTTCTTGTAGGTAAGATTGGAGTTGTTTTTGTTGCAAAATAATATATGTACTTTTTAAATACAAAGCATGTAATTTCTTAGATAGCATATTTCATTAAACATGGCTCTAACATTAGTGAAGGCTCAATATTTAGCACACCATATTATTCAAAGCTTATAGCATTTAAGAACATTAACATAAGCTAATTCAAATCAAAGAGTGGTTAATCCTATTTTTTTTATTCTTCTTATTTGATACTACTACATGTTTTTAGATGAATACATATATATATATATATATATATATATATATATAGATGTGAATTTTAAATTATATCAATTCTTTGTTGTTTTTACCTTATTTTGTGTAATTCAAAGGTTGATTAACGATTTTCCATATGATGTATTGTTGTTTAATGATATATCATTGGTTGTTTTATTTTTTTCATTCTACTACCAAAATATAACCATTATTGTCCATGTTATGATAGAAAAATTTTCATACCTTAAAATGTCATATTTAGTTTGATTTGTTTGTAAACTTAAAATTTGAATGTCAAGAATTGTTTTTACAAAATCTGAATTTATAAATTCTGGTTCTTTATTGTCTCAATTTATTTTTGAATCTTTTATTATTCTTAACTTATGAAATGTTGCTAGATAAAATTTAAATTTGATTATTAAGTTTTTATACTCAATAAGTATATATATATATATATATATATATATATATATTTTTTGATTTGTGATTGGATTTGTAACTCCTTTTCTTATTTTGTATCATTCTCTTAAATTAAATAGAACACAAAATCTTAGTTCAAAGACATAATTTTTATGCATTTTCTTTTAAAAGCTAAATCATGTTAGTCACTACACTAAAAAAAACTTTGAAGAGTTTTTTTTAAAGAGTTTCTTAATAAAGATCTATATAGAAGTTTCAATAGAGCCAATTCTTCTTGTTGTATGTTAATTATATATATTCATTGCATAAAAATTGTTCTTTTTAGAAGACACATATACTTATTATGATTTTATAAAACAAGAATAATAGAAAAAATATATTATTTCCTTCATCTTAGTATTTTAAGTAGAAGAATTCTTTTCATGGATTTTTATCTTGTTTCAAAGTATTATTAATTGTTTTAGCTAATTGAAATAATTATTAAAAAAAATTAATCAAGATTTATTTTTTACATTATAAGAGATAATAATATTATTGAATAAGTATTCTATTTATGTTTTTACCACATCTTATAAATATCTACAACTTTAAATTTGGTTTGAAATAAAATATAATATGTATATATATATTTAATTTCTTTAAAAGCCTTCAAGCGAGCAATCACCTAGACATGATAAGACCAAATATGACCTTTTAATCTTTTGGTGAAGTGAAAATGATTATACCAACATATATTTGTTTAAACAATTCAAATATATCTCCATTACATTGATGTCTTAGAAAGCATAATAGTGATTTTTTTTATACAATTACAAACTTGTTTGACATAAGACATCTTGTGGATGCCATTGGTTTATTGTAACCTTAAAACCTATACCATATTCACATTTGGATGCACAAGCCCTACAATAAATTACTAAATACAATGTTAATTAAGCTTTTGCAATCTCAATGGACAATGAACTTGGAAAATGCATTGTATTATTAGTGTTGTAACCTCTTATATAAAACATCTTAGGGGATAAACCAATGAGATAAACCATAGGAGACAAAAACCATCTCTAATTGGCTACAAATCTGATTGTTTTTATCAAAAGTGAAGCAATAACTCAACTTTTGATCAAAATCTGAATGTTAAGCAAATTGTCAAGAGTAGCATTGCAAGATCACTAGGGGTGCAATTATTCTGCAGATTAAACATTTACAAAACTTATCTAATGAATTAGATTAAATTATTCTGCAATTTAAACTTACTCCCTTTTCGTGACACAGTTTCCACAAGTCTCTGGTACAGATTTAAAGTTGTAAAAAGATGGAAACACACTAAATGCAATACATGACTTAACGTGTGAAGCTGCAATTGTTGCTGGAATGTTATTCCAGCCCAGATTCTCAGCATTGGAGCTTGTGGGGTTGTAGGAAACTGTTGCTTTCGAAGTCCTTCTCGAGAGTTATCGTAAGAAGTGATTGCCCTCTAACGGCAAGTAACTCTAAAGATTGTTTGTGAGTCAGTTGGGAAGTTGTGGCTGGACGGATATGACCAATGACTTGCAACAGTGAAATATAGGGCTTCAGGTGGCGTCGGTGCTTTTGCCGTCAAGCTGGTCAATCATGGTCAAGCGGTGGAGGTCCCTGTTCTATGGGGCATTCTTGATGCTTTACAAATAGATTCTAACCTTCTGAAGCTTTTATCTGTTGGGGACTGGGTGGGCAGTGGTGGACGGTGAGAGCTTAGATTCATGTTGACTTCGGAAGCGGACGAAATAAATGGCATCTTGTAACGGGTCGTATTGAGAGAGTGAGAGATCGCTGAGCGATGCGATAAACAGGAGGAGAGTGTATGCATGATTCGTAAAACAGTAGTTTTGTCTCGGAATTGTGGGGTATAGAGTTAACGATTGCGATTGATTCCATGCACAGTGTGAGCCATAGCACTATAATGTCGAATTGAGCTGTCCAGCGCGATCGTTGAGCGGAGAGATTCTAGTCCTGATTGCTGATTGGGATGAAAGCATTGAGTAGGAAAAAATGGAGAATTTAGAGTGTGGCAATTGAGTTGGTGCGTGTTGCCACAGCTTGCGTGCCGCATTATCAGAGTTTCAATCAATTTGTACAGATGGAGACGTCTCAGTTGAGCGATTACTGGGCAGGCTCGCAACTTTTAGGCAACTCATCGTTTGGACCCGGAGTGCGGGTAGATTCTGTGTCTGGATCGCAGTATTTCGTGGTGGAGTTCTTCCTAAGCGCGATTGTTTTCACCGTCTTCAACCTTGTGTTTCAAAGGCTACACGAGCCGAGCTTGATACCGCCAAGGCTATCTGCGTGGAATTTTTTGTGTCAAACTCACGTCCTGCGGCGAAACCCAACCGTAGTGTTACACAATCTAGTGAAGCGGTATGGACCTGTGACGCATGTGAAGTTGTGGTCTCAAGACTTGCTCGTGCTTTCCTCGGTTGCAGCAGTTGAGGAATTTTACAAACTCCATGATATGGAATTCGGAGATAGACCTTCCTCCATGAACAGAGTGACTCTGTCGAATAGCATCAACTCCTCGTGCTTTCCGCCTCTTGCAACCTACTGGAAGCACCTCCGTTTTGTTCTGGTAAGCGCAAGTACGATCCCCTCTTTTTCTTCTTCATTTGCGTTCTTCAGAATGTTTGTCTACTAATAAATTCTAGAAAATAACGATCGTTGAGTGATTGCTATCTGACTGCAGGACATGACAACCTCGACGCCTTTCGACAAGGGCACAATATGCGGGTTCGAGTGGGCGTTGGAGGCTCTGCATCACCACCCCAGCATTGTGGCAGGTGTCTGAGGAAGTCGAACGTAGCCTAGGCTCCCGATCTCACATAGAAGACTCCGACTTAGCGAAGCTGCCCTACCTTCAAGCAGTAGTGAAAGAACTTTTCCGGCTCTATCCACCTTGCGCATTTTCCTTCCCCCACGAATCCTTCGACGAGTACTGCCACATCTTTGGATATGAGGTTTCCCCCCGAACGCAGGTGCTAATCAACATCTACACTATACAGCGAGACCCTGCCGTCTGGACTAACCCCAATGAGTTCAACCCAACCCGATTCATCACCCATCCAGGGATCGACATGCACGGCCAGCACTACCAGCTTCTGCCATTCGGAGGCGGTCGACGGCAATGTCCCGCCACGAAGCTAGCGATCCGGTACGTGCAATCCGGCCTTGCTCGTTACTTTCACGACGCTCGCAGCTCGCACATGATTCCGCATTCAACATGTCTAGAAGACGACCTCTAAAAGCAAGGTTCGTTTTTTTTCTATACCCCAAAAGTTAAAAAACTAGTCTCACCCCTGCAACGAGACATCCAACTGGAGTAAAATACATCAACTCCCTCACCGGCCTCCGATTATCAGCAGACTAAGTTATGGAGATTAAAAGTGAAGTATCGTGTAGGAGTAGGACACAGCACTTCCGGGGATGATGTTAGCTCGTTTCCCATACACTAGTTTGCTTCGGCACAGCGAAGCTCACACATCGATGGCATGAGCAGATAGCTGCATCGATGTTGCGGTAATCCTTGGCAACGTCGCGGCGGAGACTTATTTTTCCAAATCCATTTCAATCCATCGGAGAATGGGGCTGGTTGCGTCGTGGCTGCGATGCCGAGCTTGAGGCTTTTCGAAGTTTTCTTCGTGTTGACGGCACTGGTGCAGCGCATTTGACGCTCCTTTTTTCTTATTAGCCCTTTTTGTGGGGTCCTTGATTGATAAGGCTTTGTAATGAAAGTCCATCTCAGGATTCCTCCATTTCTCAATTCTTATTTCTCATTTTTTCAGAATGTTCTGACGCAGCTTCCCTCTCCATGTTCATTTTTGTGAAATTTCAATTATAAATTATCTCTTTTTTTTTTATGCGAATTGTAGATAATATATATTTTTTGAAACAGGTGGAGGAAGAAGAAAAAGAAGAAACGATGTTGTGAACTAATGATTTGTCACAGAAAGTTTTGGTGTTGTCGTGTGTTTGGATCTTGCTTTTATTAAAGGTTTTTTGAGTTAATTGATGGAAGATGTCAACTACCCTTGAAAAAGAAATATAAAAAATATATTATATTTCTACCAATGGATCATGACCATGCCTCGTTATTTTTTTATAATTGCCGAACTTACCGAAATTTGCTTATTTTCAGATCAAAACGTGAGTTAATTTCTGGAATTTTTGTAATTTACAAAAGGAGAGGAATTTACAAGCATATTTATCATGGAAATATTACTTTCATTTTTTTCTTTTTAGAATATATCTTAAACTAAATTATCATAATTTCAACAAACTTAATTGGTACCGAATTGTTTCCTAAAATTTTGGAAAATGTAACAATTATATTTTGATATTACAATGCCACTTGTCATTTTAGTTCCAGTTTCTGAACTTTTACATTTCAAACAATTGTTGAAAATATGGTATATTTTTTATAGTGTCAATCTTAAACATTGTAAACAATGAGATTTTCCAATAATTTATTGTTTATAAAAGAATCAGTTTTTAGTAACTTTGTGTTCTGGATACTAACCTATCCCAACTTACTATTTTGTAATTTTGCTCCTAAATATTCTAAGAAATATGTTTGGATAATAAATTTGGTGATTATTTGGAAACAAATAGTAGTACAATACATATGTAATTATATATTGGTTGAAGACTATTGTTAAGGACATGGCTAAACTTCTCTAAATTTTTAAAAGATATTTTTTTGATTTTTTGGATTTTTTCTTTAATGTATTCTAAATAAATAAATATCTATTATATAAGAGAGCTCAAGTACAATACAAAAGACAGAGAAGTCTTTTGGTTGGTTGTGAAGGGATACTTGGGAAATATGGGTACAAGGGACCATGAGAACTATAGAACATGTAAATGAGAGAGAATGGATAAATGAGAAAATGGATGGATATGCCAAAAATTGTAGTATCCAATGGCATGGATTTTTGTTGTATATATATATATATATATAGATACACAGATAGTTAAGCAAGTCTACAAGGAATTGTTTTAATAAATAAAAACATAGTTCGTCTTATTTTTGGATAAAAATTAGATTTAGTTTTTTTGAAAATTTTGCTGCCTTAACCAAAAATAAGAAGGTCTCATAATGACATATTGTCATCCATTCCTCAAGTTTCTAAACTTATGGGTTTTTAACTAGTTGCATTTTGAAAAAATAATATTTGATTTTGGCTTGTATATTTTTGGACTAAACAGTTATTTTATTACATTTCTTAGAAGTCTGTATTTTTATCTTTTAAAAAATATTTTATATATGTAGGATTTAGGATTTTAAGGTAATTATCACATATAAAAGCATCAAATCATAGTATATTTTGTATCTAATGTATTATTTATATGTCTTAGAATATTTCTTACTCATAAATAGTTAAAATATACAAAGAATATTTTTTGAAGAATATAATAATTTAAAATTTTATTACAAGATAAGTAAATAAATAATAAAAAAAATAGATTACTGTTGAAATGAATATACAAATAAGAAATAAAATATTACAATAAAATTATCTATAAATTATATTTTCAGATTGATTGTATCGTAATATAGTATAATTTTATATTATGAGATAAAAGCCTTATAGAACCATTTACAAAAAGTTGGAAGAGATCATGGAAATTATACAAGTGCAAAATAGCTTTTTAAGGAAGCTTTGAAAAAACTTTGAAAACTTTCTAGAAATTATGATATTTTTTTGAAACTCATATATATTTTTTAACAAAACATAGAAGCCTTTGGAAGAATACAAAAAATTCTACAATTGTTTTAAAAATGATAATAAAGGTTTTTACAAATTGTACAAAATATATTAGATGATTTACGAAGTTTTTTTTAAAAAAATCTTACAAGCCATTATTGAATTTGTTTTTCTTTTACAAAAAGTTTCACAAGAAGTATTAGTAATGAGTTATTTTTTGTATGAAATGATTTCAGGATTTGTAAAAGTATTGATCTAATATATAGACTATTTTTTAATTCATGCTCAAAAAATAGATGCTTTTATTCAATCATTACTTATAACTACAACTTCTTTTTTAGTAGTAATTAGTTTTTATACCTTAATTAAATCTCAATTATTTGTAACATCTTTAGAAAATGATTTAATTTTACTAGGTTTTATACTAGCAATTTGCAATAAGATTCTCAATGTTGTATGTCTTTTTGTTGATTTAAATACCAAAATTGGTTTGTATTGAGATATTATGTAGCATTCAAAGATTCTCATTTTATTTTTCAAAATCAGCATGTAAGAAATATTGTAGATAATATTGTGATTGATTTACATTTTTAATTATGAATAACAAAGCTTGGGACCTTACTATTGTGTTGAGAAATTATAATTAAATTTAGAAATAATTCTGTGAGAGAAAAAAATAAATATAAGAAGTTAGATTTTGAAAAGTACAATTTTTTTTATTTGATATAAAATAGTGGAAAATTAATGAATTATTTATTCTAATTTTCTCTTATCATTTTTCCTCTAAAAAATATTATAATTCCTTAAATTATAACATTAATTTTACATAATTCACATTATTAAGCTTTTTTTTTATGAAGTTATTTAAAAAACATTACGAATTATTTCAAATATATGAATAATATTAAATAAAGGTTCTAAAACTATGTTACTAAATATTCGGTTCTTTTAATGAATAATATAATTCAGAAGTCTATTATTAGAATAAAACTTAAGCAATTTATAAAGTTTATGTTATTACTGTTTTTACTTAGAAGTGGTAGCAAAATTTTCTTCTAAAATGTAGGGTTTATTCTAAGGCTTTAAGAAAAAAGCATAGGCAACAGTATAATTCCATATAGTAGAAAAGAAATACCAACTTAATTTCTTTGTTAAATATTAAAAAAATAATAATAATAATAATAACATAATCTATCAGGTGGTTATTTAATTTATTTTGTACAAGCCATATATGAGATTTAAATCTAACCTGATATAAAATCAAAAGACATGAAAATTGTGTAATCTTTAAATTAATTTATCAAACTATTGTATTTATAATAGATACCTTGTCAAAGATGTTGTATCTTTGTTTAATTTTCTTCTTTTTATTACTCTTCGTTTACTTATAAAAACAAATTTTATTTATTAACATAATATAATATTTTTTAAATGTCTAAAAATTAAATATAAATTAAGTATTAATAATAAGAGTTTTAAATTCAATTTTCTTGATATAAAAAATAAAATATGTTTTTGATTTCTAATACTCAACTAATAAAAAAATAAAAAATAAAAAATATCATATATATCCCTTGAGTTTGCTAAAATATTAAGAATATTCTTACATTTTTTATAATAGCAAATACACCTTTGAATATGATAATGTATTACCAATATGACAAAGGCATAATAATTCTTATGGACTACATTACTTTCTTTTGCCTTTACATGGAGTCCAAATTACGTGCCTTTATGATGTTACAAGCAATTAAATCTTGACTTGCCTTTTTAGCATTTTGCCTCATAGATTTTGCCTTGTAGATTTTTGGCATCTATTTATTTTTTTATTTTTTTATTTTTTTTAAATATCATTCCAATGCTAGGTTGAAACATTGCTTTCTATATTGTTGTGCTTGCATCTTTTGAATTGTATGCTCTAAGATGGTAAGATTCTTTTGGTGCAAGTAGTGAAGCACTAGGTAAGTTTGAGGTCCGGTTCAAATTATACTTCTTCTTCTTATATCTTTAGCCTCTTCTTGTCTTCTATAGTCATCTCTTGTTGATTATATGATCCAGCAAAAATTGATTCTTTGCACCAAATTCAATATAGTAAATATATGTTTTGCTTAATCCTGCATATAGCAAGATATCTTCTTTTTATGAGACTATTGATTGTCGGCACTTCCAAGACTAATTTCATTATGTCAAAAATTATTTCCAAATCTTCAATACATTATTGGCAATTTGTCTCTTGAAGAAGCATAAATCAATTATATTATATGCTAATCATACTAATATGGCACAACTATGTATTGGATCTAGTTGGATCCATAAGCTACACCAACTTCTTTGGCTTGAATTCCTTGAGTTAATAATGATAGGCACTACTACACTATATGAAAGCTGCCTATGTTTGGTTGTATTAACTCTTTCCAAGTGATAAAAGAGATCTAAGAGTGCAAGTTTCTAAGCTTGATAAGATTAATTTGTCAAATTCATAGTTAGTGGCTTAAATAGCATTTGGTTCTTTTTAATAGTGACTAGGTAGTTGTGTTTATGTCTAATTAGATGAAATGTTGAGAAGGCTTGTATAACAAATTATATATTCCAAAGAATCATTGCTTGGCTCCATAAGAAGATAAAAAAAAAAAATAACAGAATTTATAACAATTGTTGTAATTTTGTCAATTTGGTGATACTTTATCATATTTAAGAATATATTTATTATTATCAATAATATAAGAATATTCTTGATATTTCAAAAGATTCTAGAAGAATATATGATATTTTTTCTAATATATATTTATTATAATTTTATATAATTTAATATTTATTCTATAATACATTATTATTATTTTTTCTATAATATTATTTTATAATTATTTTTTTAAAAGTATCTAATTATTTTTATTTATTTATTTCAAAATAAATTAAAAATATTCTTGAATAATTCAAAAAAAAGTTAATATAATAAATTATTTTTTTTGAAAAAATTTAAAAATTTAAAGTAAAAAAATATAATATATGATTTAAAAGATAAAATTTCAAAAATTTCTGATAATTTGCTTAAATTCTTAAAATATAGACATACTTAGATTAAATTATTATATTGGTATTAAATAAAATAGTATTTTATTTATTTATTATTTATTTGTTTAATTATTCTTTAC